GCAAGTCACCCAGAGGGGTAGGCAGAGACTACAAACTTCCATTTAGCACGATCCTGACATACCTCTCTCGCCTCTTCCACATCTATATACCTACGCATACATGCTCGTCGGTTAAGGGTACTCTTAATTTGGCCCATTACTAAAAACTTATCAGAATTATTATTTTGTAGCGATCCATTGGCTGTGACTAACAACTTAATATATAAAATTACTGAAAGTCTTAACCTAAATACATCAGTGTCTAATATCCCTTGCACTAAAAGAATAATACAACCCTGGATATCTGCAGGAATCTTACGCTGTATAAGAAACAGAAATAAACTTCAGAAAAACTTACGAAAAGACCCACATAATGACATTCTTCGCGTTACCTACAGACGGTACAGGAATTACTGTAACAATTTAATAAAAAGAATGAAAAGGCAATATGATAGAGAAAATATTATTAAATTACACCTGTGCACCCACACAATTTGGCTTCAGACAAGAAAGGTCGACAGAAAATGCAATTCTTGAATTAAGCACATTTGTAACAGAACAACTCGACCACGGTAAAAAATGTTTGTCGGTCTTCCTTGATCTGAAGAAAGCATTCGACACCGTCTCTGTCCCTACCCTTGATAGCACACGCTTGATAAAATTGGAATAAGAGGGACTCCGCTTGCTCTTTTCGAAAGCTACCTATCGGAGAGAAAACAAAAGGTAAAGCTTCCTGGGTTCATTAGTGAGGAAGCGGTGGTGTCATATGGCGTTCCACAGGGTAGCGTTCTGGGGCCGATTTTTTTGGTGCGGGCCTTATTTCTAATTATGTCAATGATCTGTGCAGTATGAAAAAAAGAAAATGGGAAGGGCTTTGTTTTTTTATTGGGGCTGTGCTAAGTGGTCTAGTTCGTCGTTAGTTGCAACAAAATCTCCTCACTTTGAATACAGCTAAGACAAATTTTATTTGCTTTAGCATTACCAACAACTTGCAGCCACAGAATGACTTTTGCCTTAAAATTCATATGTGTTTTGAGGATGCTAAAAACAAAGCTTGTGACTGCCCATCAATTGAAAAAGTCTCTCACACTAAATATCTGGGCGTCGTTATAGATCAGAGGCTATCGTGGTACCCACACCTTGAACATGTCATTAATAAGACCCGAAAATTGATTCGGATTTTCAAAACTCTAAACACGTAATACCTGATAGTACTAAGCAGTCGGACTCTCCCAGATATCTTCTTAACCAAATATACACGTCCCTTGCACAATTTATCATAACATATTGCATTCCGGTGTGGGGTGGAGCTGCAAAGACCAAATTTCTAAACTTGGAAAGAGCCCAACGAACCCTTATTAAGGTCATGTATTTTAAAAAAAAGACGTTTTATCACTGAACAACTGTATAGAATAAGTGGTTTACTCTCAGTTAGACAATTATATGTTACTATGACAATCCTCAAAGCACACAAATCCCTGCCCTTTGACCCATGCATCTTGAAAAAGGTAACAGTTTTTGCTAGTAGGCAATTTAGCTCATAATGATTTCTTAAATTTACGCGAACACTGGAACGTGAACGTGAACATTTACGCGAACCATGGTCACGGGGGGGAGTCCCCCCCGTGACCATGGGCGCTGTAAAGCACCCGAAACGTCGGGATAATAATAAAAATAAATTAAATTAATTAAACGCGATAAAATCCGTAAATAATAGTTTTATTCAAATTTAGTCATGTTCTGCATTCCTATATAATAAAATAAATAGAGAATTGAACATATACGAAAAAACGTACAGGGAGTGTAAAAACCTGATACTAAAATGGGTGCCGTCGAAAACTTATGAAGAAACCGAATTTCTGCTGTACCGCATATCATAATTCACTTCTATGTACAATATAATATAACAAAATAATTCTTCATACACACACACACACACACACACACACACACACACACACACACCCACACACACACACGCACCCACACACGCACACGCACACACGCACCCACACACACACACATACACACACACACACGCACGCACACACACACATACACACACACGCACGTACACACTTTTGTAATTTTTGTAAATTTTGGTTGTTAAATTCGAGTAATTTGTTTTTGTCATTTTTGGTTTTTTAAATTAAAAAATGTATGTCTAGATAAGGAAGAGCGGGATTTCCAAACACAAGCATTACTTGCTTAAATGGAGATCCCAGTCAACTATGTCAATTTAAGTTTTGTGAAGAAAAATAAATTATTTTATTTTATTATTTTTTTAAATTTGAAGTAATCTTTCTATAATAAAAAACTGACCTCATCCGGACGGATATCATATTTCCATCGACGCCCCTCTAGGCTCGTCAGACCATTGTCATGTCTGCAGTGTGGTGGCACCACACTTTTTTGTGGTGCTTTGCTTTTCGCCGGACGATCCCAACGTTGTTGCTGATTCTGTCGCTGATGTGGTACTTCAGGTTGTGGAACTTTTTATCCCACCTTCTGTGGTGCCCATCGGAGGCAGATCACAGCCATGGTTTGGTCCCTCCTGTAAAATAGCGTCCCAATATAAGCAGGAGTACTACCGGGCCTGGGCTGACGCATCAACGTCTCAGGATGTAAACACCAGCGCCCTTACAAAGAAGTATAATTCCGCCTCCAGGTCCTTCAAAAGTGTCATTGCCAAGGCAAGGTCTGAGCACATGTGTGGATAAATTTCAGCCACCAAATTCCACAAACGCACATCTCTCCAAAATTCACAATACCCTGCTAACCATCTGGATACTTGGCGGTCTACCACTGTGCGTTTTTTTACAAGAATTTCTCTTCCTCGTACAACTTCTCTGTGGAATTGCTTACCACCGGCGATTTTCCGGACCGATACGACTTAGGGACCTTCAAGAAAAGGCCTTACTCCTTTCTAAAAGGTCGGCAACGCACCTGCGATTCCCCTGGTGTTGCGTTTGTTTATGGGTGGCAGTAGTCACTTACCATCAGGTGAGCCGCATGCTCGTTTGCCCCTCTACTCTATAAAAAGAAAATCAATTAAAAACTATCTAAATTCAAACCATACGCACACCACTTTACGAGCGGCAATTTATAACGCCCTCGCCGCATCTGCCGCGGCGTAGTTCTAAAGTGCAAGGACCTTTGTCCTTGTACTGTCGCAGGGTCGCAGGCGCAAGGCCGCCCGCCGCCCCGCGCTCTCATTTCAGTCACCTGTGATTAGCTACGGCGCCATATTGTTTGTTTCCGCGTGTGTATTGGCCGCCAGCCCAGAGATGGGAACAGTATTCCATGTGCGGCCGAACCTGCGCCTTGTAAAGTTGCAGGCGGTGTGCCGGCATGAAATACTGTTCCGCTCTGCTGAGCACGCCAAGCTTTTTAGAGGCCAATTTGGCCTTCCCTTCCAAGTGAACCACGAAACTGCACGTCACTCGATATGTCGACGCCGAGGATTCCGATACTGGCTGAGGCAACAAGGGGAGTGCCTTGAAACTGAGGTGATACGACAAAGGGGTTCTTTTTAGCGGTTAACGCGCAAACTTGTGTCTTCTGGGGGTTAAACTGGACTAGATTTAGTCGCCCCCAATCCGAGACTCTGTTCAGCAAAGACTCGACTTCAGACACACGTTTGTTCCGGCACTCGGAGACGTTTTCCCGAGAAATATTGGCTCGACCGGTGTAAAGAGCATCACCAGTGCTGTCATCTGCATAGCAATTAATGTTACGGGTTTGCAACATATCACTGATATGCAGAAGAAACAGCGTGGCGATAGCACGCAGCCTTGTGGAACACCAGCATTAATAGGCTTGCAATCGGAGCTTGCACCGTCTACAACGACCTTGATGTTCCGATCTGCAAGAAGCTGGTGATCCAATCGCACAATTTCTCGGGAAGCCCATAGGAAGGGAGCTTCGAAAGAAGCGCTTTGTGCCAAACTAACAGCCAATGCCCTTGGACTCTACTGCCTCGGCCCATCTGTGAGTTAGGTAGACCAGAAGATCACCAGCTGACCGACCACGGCGAAAACCGTATTGTGTCACTAATCAGCTGGTGATCCTCAAGGTACCTCATGAGCTGGCAGTTTACAATGGACTCTATTGTTTTGGAGAACAAGGAGTTAATGGCGATAGGCCGGTAGTTGGACGGGTCTGAGCGGTCGCCTTTTTTAGGGATCCGGTGGATGAAAGCCGTCTTCCATGATTTTGGGACTATGCCTAGGGAGTAGGAGTACCGGAAAAGACGCGTTAAAACCGGTGCCAACTCTGGAGCACACGTCCTCAGCACAATTGGGGGATTCCGTCAGGCACACTCGACTTGTGGATGTCCATGGAGGAGGGAGGGATGAGTGCTTTGCGAACCGAGCGCTGTGTGAACTGCACTTCTGCACTGCAACTGCACGTGTATTTTTGGTAACCCATATAACTTCGGTGGTTTGGCACATGAAGGTATTATCGAATTAACGTCTAGATTCAATTTCTCGGAGTATTTCTTAATTAGATCGCTAGTTGTTTTGAGCGTTGTTGTAGGGTCTCTTTTGACCTTTCGGTATGTAGTTTCATTCGACAAAAGTTGTTGTATTTTAAAATTGTAATCTAACGTATCCATTTTAACCGTAGCATTAACATTATCTGCGCGGAGAATCGTAAGCTCTGGTCTGTTGCGTAAGTTTTTCAACGCGTTAAATCCATTTTTGGGAAGATTTAATTTCGGCGCTGAACTTCGACGTAACATAGACGAAATGTCTTGACGTATTGCCTCTAAATCTTCATTACCAATATTATTTTATCTTCATTACCAATATTATTTTTATACAGACAATCCTCAACACTACAGATAATGTCACATTGGGACGTCAGTCACCTTAGTCCCCCGTGACCATGGGTGGTGGAAAGCACCCGAAACGTCGAGAATTAAAACTAATTAAAATTAAACGCGATAAAATCCGTAAAAATAGCTTCAATCAATGTTTTACTAAGATGTATTAGTCATTTGTGTTTGATAATGGCAGGATTCACGGGCTGGAGTGCAGACGAGGTGGCAGCGGCGCGCGCGCTGCACGAGGCATACGTGGCGCGGAACACGCATGCCACGGCGGCAACGGCAGACACGACTGCCACGTCCAGAGCTGTGGACGAGTCTGACGACGACGGTTTCTTCGAGCAGAGCTCGCTCGGAGACTCGCTTAGTGATGACTTGGCTTCGCATACCGTTAGTATTTTGCTTTTTTTTCAACGTATTTTCGTGTTCTAAACTTAACTTGAAGTGTTTCACGTATAAAGATTGAACGGCGCGTGCACTGTACGTATATTATATGAAGTAGAGCCACGCTGCCGCTATATTATGGTTGTAGGATAAATGGGTCGGCTCGACCGCTCTCACAAAATACCAACCTCAAATAACAGCTTAATGCTGCTGTGTTTTGCACAGATGTTTATGAGCCACAGAAATCACTAACTATCGGGTGAACTGAGTGCTCGTTTTTACCTTAGTACTATATAAAAAAATTGGTTAACCCTGCAGGCCATCCCAGGAACTTCCCGCTAACTTCAAATGCAAAGCGCTCCAAATTTCACCAAATTATGTTGCGAAATCTCGAAGTTCTGTTAAAAAAAACTTTTTTCAAATTCTTTCTCCTTCGATATCTTACGAACGAATGAACCGATTTTTATTTTCGAAACGGCATTCGACGTCATTTTTTTGAAGTTAAGAGCTGTTTATTTTTTGTAATCGTTCGGTTAAGCCGTTTAAAAGTTATTCCAAAAAAACAGTTTTTCAAATTTTTTATTTTGGAGATTTCTCAGTCTACTCTTCCGAATCAGTTCATATTATCACCAAATCTATTATACATTGAGATCTTTAGAACGCCGCAAACTGCATCTCAATCGATCAAGAGTCACGACGTTTAAAAGTTACACACACACACGCGAGCGCGCGCGCACACACACACGTACACATACACACGCGTACGGACGTCCACGTGAAATTAGTCGGAATAGCTTTCTGGGATCTCAAATTGTCGACATCTGATACTACTACTTTCCTATTTTAGAAAATTATTTTCTTAGCGGGAAGTTAAAAATTTAAATAACAGAGTATATATATGTATATATGAGTATATATATGTGGGCGTTTTTCGAATAAAGTGTACATCGAAATATATAATTTTTAGTGCAAACTTTCTTTAAATGCTATTGTTATTAAAAAAAAAAACTGATTCTTCCTCATTGAGTTGGTCAAGTTCATGACTAACCAGAAATAATTGTGCTTAAAAAACAATATTTTCTTTTACGTGTGAATTTTTAGCCATACTTAAAGAAAGCTTGCATTAATGTTCATAGTTACGTGCCACGTGTGTTAAAATAATATTAATATTTTAAAATAAATATTAGATTTCCATTTGTGACGCATCGGAATATTTTTATACAGAAGAGTAACGAAAAATTCATGTTACATCCTCATCTTTTATTATGTTATTATATATATATATATATATATATATATATATATATATATATATATATATATATATATATATATATATATATAAGTAAGAATACCACATATATGCAATAAATGAAACCACAAGTAAATTTAAATATTAATTTAAAAACCGGAAATTTTTTTTTGCGCCCGAAGCAATTAAAGGGCTACCCTATACGTAGGGAGGCGGAAAATGCATTACGCATACCACGATAGCCGGTCTGTCGTGGTTATGAGGGACTCACTGTCCTACCGGGGACCCTAAGTGATACCCTCTAAAAACCGCCTTTGGGGACAGGCAACCGGCTGATTAAGCTGTATTGTGCCTTATCGTGAGCGACCCTCTTTTGGGAAAAGAGGGCGCAGGCGGCTACGAGCCGCTGAGGGAGTGCCTACGAAGGCAAATTAATATTAGTTAATATAATAATTTAATTTAATTAGAGTTCGCCTGAGCCGCCAGGTGGCAGTTCAGATCGTTAGTTAGTTTATTAGGCGGGTCCGAGAGAGAGTTTCTCGGCCTGCGGACTCGATAGCGAGAGGGGGGTGGGGCTGCATAAGTAGCTGCCTCACGAATTAAATGATTTGAGTGCGACTCTGAGGCTTTGAAGAAGTTCTCAGAGAGTTTTTGGAGAAATTGTTGGATTGTGGGGAGCTCTAGGTCCCGATGAAGGTCAGCATTACGGACGTACTAAGGTGCGTTCGCAGCTCGACGACAGAAAAGGTTTTGAACTATTTGGAGTTCATTAATGATTTTAGGGTTGGCGTGGGCAAAAACGGGGCCCGCGTATGACATGACTGGTCGTATATAGACCTTATAAAGGGTACGCTTGTTTCTAAGGGACATTTTACTGTGTCGGCCCAACATACAGTTGAGCCTGCTCAGATAGAACCGTGCGTGACGGGTTACTCTTTTGACGTGGGGCCTGAAAGTGAGCCCTGTGTCTAGAGTGACACCTAAATATTTGGCGGTTGTATGCCAGGGGACAGGGGTCCCTAGCATACGTATTGGTGGGGTGTTTTTAAGACGGCGTCGTTTATAATCGAAGTGAACGGCGGAGCTCTTCTCCGGGTTCACATCGATGCGCCATTTTTTGAACCAAGCTCCTAGGTCATCAACTGACTTTTGGATCTTGTTCCGTATGAAGGGTAGTGAGACACCTTTGCAGTAGATAGCAGTGTCGTCTGCGAAGAGGGAGAGCTGAACACCTTTCGACGGGATGGGAATGTCGTTGGTGAACAGGATGTACAGCAGAGGAGCAAGTACTGAGCCCTGAGGGAAAGCTTGATAGTTGCTGTGAGTTGCCTTCTGGGATCGGGGAGACCTATTTTGTAGAGCTTGTAGATAAGGCTTATCCAGACTTTCGAAGCTTAGCTATGTCGAAAAAGACCGCGATGGTCTTATGACGACGAGGATAGAAACCGCTGAGGATATATTCCACAATGCGGTGAACTTGTTGGGGACATGAGTGTTGTGCTCGGAAACCGAATTGATGGGGAATGATAAGAGGGTCACAGTCTGTGGGAAACAGATAGCGCCTCATACGTGTTTGGATGACTCTTTCGAAGAGCTTGCCCATTGCCTTGAGGAGGCTAATGGGGCGATGACTGGGGAGGTTGAGAGGCTTGCCTGGCTTGGGAATTCCAATCACAGTTGCCTCTTTCCACGTAGCGGGAAAGTAACTAAGGTTGAAGCAGGCGTTGAAGATAATAGATAAAAAGGTTAACACCTGCTCAGGAAAGTGTTTTAGGGCTTGGTTGGAGATGCCATCCGCCCCCGGAGCCTTTTTAGGCTTAAGTCCTTTGATGAGGGATGAAATCTCATCATTGGACACAGAGATAGGTTCGGAGGCCGTAGGGGGTGAGTTCCGGCGGTGGACCTCATCCTCTACTGCCTGGACGTGTGAGGGGTCAACGGGTTGAGAGCTAGGAGAGCATTGAGCGGCAATGCTATCTGCAAAGCACTCAGCCTTTTCCTCGTCCTCGAAGGCAACCGTGCCGTCGGGACGGGAGAGAGGGGGGAGTGTGGGTGATAGCGTCTATGCGGAGGGCTCTGGTCATCTGATAGTACGCTGTATGAGATGGAGAGATATTCTCCATGAGTTTACTCTTTTCGAGGTCTCGAAATTCAGAGAGGCGGAAGCGGAGTTCTCGTTGAAGACGATTGGCCGCGCGCCTATATTCGGGGGTGGTATATTTTGCTGCTCTCCGGAAAGCAGCTTTTTTGGCTTTTAATAGGTTGCTAATATGTAGGGGAAGCCCACTATTGTTAGCAACCGGGACGACCCTTTCGTTCTCCTTAAGGGAGGATTTAATAAGGGTGGAGAGTGAATCGACCGCGGTGTCGATTTTTTCGGGACTGTCTAAGTCCGACGGTAGGGAGATGATAGAGTCCTGTGAGTCCGGAGCTTTAGCTAGGGACTCCTTGAATCCCTTCCAGTTAGTGAAGGTTTTCGTGTGTGGTTTGGGGGAGGTGGCTGATGGCCAAGAGTGAGGGAGACCGGTCGGTGATCTGATCCTAGATCGTCTAGTGTCTCGATTGCTCTGAGGTTGAGAGAAACTCCTTGGAGTAACGCAACATCTAGTACATCGGGGGGCGTGATCGGTGTTATTGGGAAAGTGAGTAACACCTAGGGGACTATGGACGGTAATATCAAGAGACTGCGTGATATCGAGCAGTATCTTGCCACTAGGGGATGTAGTACGGCATGTCCATTCAGTATGCTTGGAGTTAAAGTCTCCAAACATAATGACTGGATTGCCTAAAGATAAAATGGCCTCAAAATCTTTTTTGAGGGGATAGGTTCCTGAAGGGATGTAACAGGAGGCTATGAGGATGGACTGATGTCCAGTCATAGCTAGCCTGCATACCGTGGCTTCCATGTTGGTAAGCTGCGGAGTAGAAATGGGCGAGCAATGAAGTGTCTTCTTGTAATAGATGGCCGTTCCGCCGCCTCGGCGGTCGGGTCTGTCGTTACGAAGAAGAGAGAAAAACCGGAAATTTAAGTTCAAATGTATAAAGAGTGATACACTGTTATTGCAGTTTTAGAAAGTACGAGTATTTGATAAAAAGAACTGATTCACCCAATTGTGAAACTTGTGGAGTAATAGAAGACTTACATCATTTTAATGGAATGTGAGCGGAACCGAGGGCCAAGGGAATTATTTGTAAAGATATATAAGATAAATGTGTACAAGATAAGTATTGCGCAGGGCATCCTACATGCCGCCACCTCAGATATTGCATTGAGTATGTGCAGATTGATAGAAAATGTATAGATTTTAAGTTAGTTTTAGTTGGATTGACATGTTAACTAACGATAATCCCTAAATAAAAGAAGAAGAAAAAACGAGTTAATGAGGTTTCTACTTTTATTTGAAATTGTCCCAAATTAATATAATTTATGGGCAACAATGTTTTTGCCTACCGACCGACCCCTAAAAATATGTGGGTGCGCAGTAAAATCAATAATGCATTACATTAAATTAATTTTATTAAAAAAATTACCTTTAAAGGAACATAATATTAGAATTTTTTTATATAGTTTTTATTTATAATTTTTCTTCATCATTTGCTATATTACTTATTCTGAACTTTGTCTGCAAATTTGGCCGATTAATTGCAAAATAACCGTGTGTATATGTGTAGTGTGTGCAACAGGAGTGTGCGGGGCAGCAGCAGCAGCCGTGGAGCAGCTGGAGTGCCGACGTGCTGCGGCGAGCGGCGGCCAGCGAGCGCGCGCCGGACGTGCAGGCGACGGCCGCGCGTCTGCTGCAGCACCTGCAGTGCGAGCAGCAGCAGCAGCAGGCGGTGCCGTGTACGCGCCTGCTGGCCGCAGCGCAGGACGCACGTGACGTGTCGAGGCTCTTCCTCGCCACGCTCTTCCTGGTCAGTCGCGCAAGCACCTTTACATACAATACCAAACATACGAGCACGAGACCCACGCCGACACTCAATAGTACAACACTTAGAAAATCATCACTTAGTAAAATAGTAGCTTAATACTGCTGTGCTTCGTATAGTGAGTGTATCAAACCAGACACCTTTTTACTGGAAATGAGACATTCCATCTTCGGGTCTTACAAATACAGAGTATATAAACAAATAAAGTAATACATAGATAAATTCAAAATTAATAGGCCGCTCAAAGTCGCTCAGCGAGCTATGGAGAGGGCTATGCTCGGGGTTTCTATGCGTGATAGACTCAGAAATGAGGATATCCGCTGTGGAACCAGAGTGACTGACATAGCCCAACGGATTAGTAAGCTGAAGTGGCAATGGGCCGGCCATATAGCTCGAAGAACCGACAACCGTTGGAGAAAAAAGGTTCTCGAGTGGCAGCCTTGTACCGGTAGGCGAAGGAAGTCCATGAATGCAGGTGGCTCAGGCCCTTGCTTTGTGGTATACCTTGGGGGAGGCCTATGTTCAGCAGTGGACTTGTGAATGATGAATGATGATGATGTCTTACACGTGTAATAAATACGACTCGTAACAATACTATTTTTGTGCCTCGTTGATCTAGTGGTTGTACAGGATTACTGATCATGAGGTCCCAGGTTCGAATCTAAGCTCAGCTCGGGTCGAACTAAAAATCTTTTGTTGGGTTTTTTTGTCAAGAAATTCTACATAGCTGCCGACAGAGTCAACAAATTGGCCGTGTTTCACATCTGTTCTTCGGAGAGCACGTATAGCAGTTGGTCCTACGGTCTTGATTTCTGGTCTGGTGTAATACTGGGTGACTTTTTTCCGTCTGGAAAATGAAATGTGTTTTGTGTAAGTGGAATAGAAGCTATTATAGAAAGTGTTTGTAAATATGACAAAATATAACTGATAAGCAACATTTCCAAATATCCAAAAGAATACATAATAATGATTCATCCTACAGCAATTGTGTAAAACTAAAATTAGGTGATATTAACTTCAACGGCGTGGAATAGGCTACAATCGCTAGGAATGAAATTTGTAAATGCGAGCGCGACGCATGCATATTTCTTGCATTAGGCGAACGCCTGCCGATGCCCACGATGAATATCGTCGCTATGTAGACACCAGACAGCCAAGTGGGAGCGGGCAATACATCGTTGCATCCAACATTTAGAAACAGGCGTATTGCAAAAGACCTTCGTAATGCTTGCAGCGCTAAGTGTTTTTTGATACAGTGCCGTTTACGAATGCAAATTACTGACGTTCAGCTGGATTGACGTTACGATACGTTGACTACATGGCAGACAGTGTCTAGCCTGATTACAGAATGACTAGTTAGGTCCACTTTCTTTACGACAAAATTTGTAGCCACAATGCATAAGTGCTATTCAATGTTGCGGTATTAAAGACAACGCTGCATTTGTTTGTTTTGGAATGCATGTCACTTAAAATCCAGCAAAATCAGCTAAAGCTCCAGGATTAGATGGCATAAGTAACGAGTTCCTCATCCTAAATAGAAACCACCTGATACCAATTCTCAAACATCTTTTCAATGAAGTCTTACAAAGCGAGATAATACCTTACCAATGGACAACGTCAACAATAGTACTTCTACACGAAAAAGGAGATAAAAATAACATTAATAATTTTAGACCTATAAGTCTACTGTCGAATATATATAAAATCTTCGCAAAAGTTATACTCTATAGAATAACTAGCATGTTGGATGAAAATCAACCAAGAGAGCAGGCAGGTTTCAGGAGCGGATACTCAACTTTAGACCACATTCATGTCATTAAGCAACTATTCGAAAAAGCCAATGAATACAACATAACCTTTTACTGCTGCTTTGTGGATTACAGTAAAGCTTTCGATACAATAGAGCATGATAAAATTTGTCGGGCACTCAAAAACTAAGGTATCGAAAATAAATACATCAGAATACTAAACAATATCTACGATAACAGCAAGGCTGAGATAAAACTAGAGAAGGAAGGTAAAGATATTATAATAGGAAGAGGCGTACGTCAGGGCGATCTGCTATCGCCGAAATTCTTTACAGCCGTTTTGGAAGAAGTCTCGTCAATTAGACTGGGAGATAAGTGGATTGTCCATTCATTAACGGCGAAAACCGGTCACATTTGAGATTTGCCGATGATTTGATAATCCTCTCGTCATCGAGTGACGGACTGCAGGCGATGCTGAATGACCTGGTTAGAGAAAGTGGCAATGTGGGATTGCTCATGAACACATTAAAGACCAAGACTATGACCAATGGCAAGGAAGTACTTATTCTGATCAATAATAACCTGATTGAATATGTTAATGAGTACATCTATTTGGGCCAGATAATCTCTCCTATAAATCTAACCTCAAAAGAAATTAACAGACGAATTGGAAATGCCTCAAAACAATTTTGGAGCCTAAAAGAAATAATGAAAAATAACGACACTAAAATAACCATCAAACGGAAACTCTTTGATACCAGCATACTACCTATACTCACTTATGGCTGCCAAACCTGGGCACTCACTAAAGCACACATTAAAAAGTTAGAAACATACCAAAACTCTATGGAAAGGAGTGTGGCGGGGAAAAGACTATCCGATAGAATAAGAATCGAAACCATAAGGAAACATACAAAAACAAAAGATGTAACAATAATAATAAAAAAGTTAAAATGGAAATGGTCAGGCCATATAATTAGAGGAAAGGAGAAATGGTCGAAATCGATAATGAATTGGTTTACAGGTCATATAATGTTTTTTTTTTTTCGTGGGTAGGTGTGTAACAAGTAACAGCTGACTTATTAGCTCCTATATTTTATATACTTTAAAATTATTTTAAACCAGTGTTTGGACTATATTTACATATAAATTACATCTTTATTACCTTTTCTTTTGAAGTCCTATTGAAATATATGTCCAGATAAAATATTTGTGACATTCACATACCACCCATTAGTGTCACTTTGTTTTTGCAAACTATATCATTCATTAGCACTTCACTTTGTGTTCACTAATATCACAGCAAATATTGGAAGAAATGGCAAGAGTAACTGATGTGGAGGTCATGCAAAGAGAACTTGAAGGAAGCTGGAGTCGCAAAATGGCTGAATTTGAAAACAGGTTAAAGGCTGCCTCCACACCTACTAATCCCTCTCTTAATCAACTCCGCGAGGAGTTTTATGAATTCAAGGACGTCGTTTGCTCCATGCTCAATCTCCTTCGGCAACAAATTCAAGCCTGCACTAAGTCAATTGATGCTATTGATATGCAGCACAGACAGAATATCCTTCTATTTAATGGGATCTCTGACTCCCCCAGAAGTTAATATTGAACAAGAAATACTGGGTATCATACATAAGAAAATGGGTATCCCACATGTTACAAATGTGGCCTTAGTACGTTGTCATCGAATTGGTGTTCAAAAGGATGGTCGTTCACGTCCAATTCTTGTACAATTTCATGAGCATAACACAAAGTCTGAAGTGTGGAAAGCTAAAACTAAGTTAAGGGGATCTCAAATATCTGTGTCTGAGTTTTTAACTAAAATGAGGCAATCTGTACTTAAAAAAGCCCGCAAGCATTTTGGAATGAAGAATGTGTGGACCTTAGATGGAGCAATTTTCATCAAACTTCCCAATAATGAACGGGCAAAAATCTTCATTGAAGAGGAGATTGATACTCTCATTCAACAGTTTCCTGTTGATTTTTCATCAGCAAGTCTTAGTATGGCCCCTAACAGCAGTATCACTAATAGTGTAAAGAAACCCATACAAGCACTGCAAAGTTCTTCAAGCACAAAAATTCTGTGTGAGACTTCTCCTCGCAATCAAGTTGATGTGGTGGTGCAGAAAGAGGATTCTAAAAGGTCCCGCCGTTTAATTGCTAAAAAATAGCTTGCTTAATTTACATATAATGGTATTCCTAGGTATCCTTTATTTTTGTAATCCACTGTTTTATATTATTGATTTACATATATTTAGTTAAGTGTTTATAGTCCTGCATCTTCTTGGTTGTAATGACTGTAGCACAGAACAATATTGTCTGTACTGTACCTAGTCATAAGTCACTTTTTTACAGCAGTATAATAGCAATTTTATTTTTAAGTTGTTTTCTTCTAATAGTACAGTCTGCATAGGAATTTTTATTTCTCTAAATATAAACTTAATGAGATTTTATCTTGTAATACATAACTTGCTTGGGTTCAATTTCCTTTGTTTCTTGGCTGAGGTTTCTTACTTGGTAGGTTTGTTTATACTATGCTTGATATTGGTAACAATACTTATCTTTTTATAAATTTACCTACCACATATTTTTAATTTAATTTTTTTTTTTTTGTTAAATTTTGGGTTTTGATTTGTTTGATTTGACAATGACAACTATGTATTACTTTTTTTTCCTTTTATAGACAAAGGACACATGAATCATACAGCCAGCGTCGATCTTATACTTTGCTTTAATCGATTTTCTCTTGGTAAACATTTTCCTGTAATTTTTTTTTTTTGTGATATCTACTTAGGAACTTTATTATTAATCAAGATTATTTTTGCCACTTTAGATATTTTAGATCATAAGTTTGCATATAAAATTTTATTTATATTAAGTTTACTCTGTAAACAGTTAACTGATGGGTTGGTGATGTTTATGTTTAGTAATTTGTTAGTTAATAGTTATAGTTTACATAACTTACTTTATTTTTTATTTTTTTATTATTATTTTTTTATATATTTATTTAATTTATTTATTATTTTAGTATATGTAATATGTCTGATGTTGAGTCGTTTAGCTCTGCAAATGATTCTTCTACTTTGTCATTTCACTCTTGTAATGATTCTCTCAACGAGAGCGTGCTTAATTTACACGAACTACTCAAAGGAGTTTTTACGCCTTTTAACAACTCTGTGAACATATCGCTGCTTTGCACGAATAACCGCACAAACCAAAATATTGAAAATACTGGTTTATAACACAGTCACTTGCAAAATAGTCCATATTTTATGGTCAGTAAGACTCACATTCATAACGGCAAAACTGACGTAGTGGCGCGTAAAAATGTCGTTATGTGATTGGTTGATTTATCACGCCATATTTGTGCAATAGTCGACGATCGCCAGTAGCTATTACTGTTTTCGCGTGTCTACGTCAAAACTTTCGGGAATAATAGCACATTACCAAATAATCGTGTGTTTAAATTGTAAAGTTTAGTAATATTTTCTGCAATATTCATTCATTTTGAGTTGATTGATTATTTAAGTTAAAATTGTGACTGTTTTCGTCTTTTTTTTTTTCTTAAAAAGTGCTGCATTTAGTGCTACAACATTCTTCATGAAAAAGTAAGTAAGACAATAATACTTATTAAGTTTTATTTGTTTCTTGAAGATAGAAACAACAAAATGTTTTAACATGTTTATGAAATAGGTTATTATTGCTTAAAAATAAAGCTAAACAATTTAGAACCGAAAGCAAGTTAAGTTACTTTTAACGATATAATGTAATTATAACGTGTTTTGGTGTTTTTTTTTGCTGCCTCTTGCGTGGCTTATTTAACCGCGATGTCCCGGGTTCGAATCCTGGTTCAAGCAGCAAACGGGGTAATCGTCATTTCTTATTTAGAACATTCTTAATTTAGCAACTCGGCGTTAGAAATTATGCCGATGAACAGCAGAAAAAACATAGCCGGCTTCGGGTATTACAGGCATGATGCTATGTTGTGTTGTGTTGTAGTATGATAGGACTGAACGGTGTGGTGTGGCATGGCATGGTGTGGTATGGAGTGGTGTGGTGTGGTGTGTTGTATTGTGATGTTGTTCTGGCATGACATGCCATGGCATAGTATGGCGTGGTTCGTTATTTTATGAAATGTTCTTATTATTTACAGTGCCGAATCCCCGTACCCTACAAATAATCCGGAATCTCAAACAAGATAGTAAATCTGTTATACAGAATGAAATACCTACGACTTCAACTTCCATACAATTCACTGAAAAGGAACAGTTCATTTTATCTCCCAAGCCTAACGATAATATTGAAAATAAAGATTTATCTAATGTTAGTGAAGACTTTTGTTCAGATGATAGTGTGAAGGATCCTGACTATGTAGATATCGATACACCCTGTTCTACAAAGAGGTCTCTTTTGAAAAATAAAAACCGAGAAGTTTTTAAAAATTTGTTGAGTGGAGTAGATTTAAATGAAAAACAATATGACAATTTCAGAAACGATGTTTTCACCATAAACCAAACAAGTTCACCTATACCTATGCCGATAGCCCCATGCAAACAGAATCTAGTAGCAGCTCAAGCGATGGAATTGGTTCATCCAGCTCAAGCGATGGATCTAGTTCCTTAGATTCCGAGAGTTCATCAGACGATGAATTGAATAATGAACGTTTAACAGCAGTGGTTCAGTCTAGGGTAGACAATAACACATTTCTTACAAGAGCTACCTGCATCGAAGAAGATATTTCTCGCAATGATTCGATTGAGCCAGTAGCTTCAACTTCATGTTCTACACCTCCAACTTCTTTAGAACTTACTGCTGATACCAATTCTACACATCTTGGTTGTATCGATAATATCAGCTCAAATAAAGGACGGAAAAGAAAATCTACACCCAATAACTGTTTGCGTAACAAGGCAAAAATCCTAAGAAACTCTGGTAAATAATTCTGATAAATATCCAATTCTAAAAAGGGAAAAACCGTTGTGCCTGCAAAGTCTCTCAAAACACCATGTACTGATAAATGCAAACAAAAATGTACACAAAACATTACAGAATCACAGCGCAAAGAAATTTTTGAAAGCTTTTGGGGCATGGGAGATCTGCAAAGGCAACGGGAGTTTATTTTACGCCATCTTTCCGTCATTCAACCACGATACTCATACAAGATGCATAACAGTAACCGAGGGAAAAACAACGCTTTTTATTTGACCATTGATAATGAGAGAATTCGAGTGTGTAAAGTATTTTTTAAAGCTACGCTAGATATAACCGATGCCTTTATCCGAACTGTTATTCAAAAGAAGCAGAATTCATGTGGAATGTTAGATTTGGATAATCGTGGCAAACACAGTCAACATTTTCATTTAGATCCGGCTATTAAAGAAAGTGTAATTCAACACATCAACTCAATTCCAAAAATTGAAAGTCACTACTGTCGTGCAGACACAAAAAGGCTTTATATTGATGGTGGGGAAAACTGTAGCAGACTTACATAGGAATTACGAACTCGACTGTCAGTCAAAAAGTCTACCAAGCGCCAATTACCTTATGTATTACAGGATCTTCAACAACGAATTCAACATTAGCTTTTTCCAACCAAAAAAAGATCAGTGTGAGGACTGTACATCATACAGTAATGCCACAGAAAACGATAAGGTAGAACCGAAAGAAAAGTTTGATAGGCATTTAAAAGAGAAGGATTTGTCAAGGCAAAATAAAGAAGATGATAAAAAATTTACTCCTGATAATTGTATTGTAGCAGTTTATGATCTTCAGGCTGCAATGCCTTGTCCTAGAGGAGATGCATCAAACTTTTATTACGTATCAAAATTAAATACGTATAATTTCACAATATGCGATATCAAATCTAAAGACACTGCATGTTATGTCTGGTATGAAGGTGAAGCTAAACGCGGTGCTATAGAAATAGGATCTTGTTTGCTTAAATACATACAGAATTTAAAGTTCAAAGCTGAAGAACTAGACTCAAAATTAGATATAGTTTTTTATTCCGACAATTGCTGAGGCCAGCAAAAGTACATAATAGCTCTTTATGTATATGCAGTTTACCATCTCGATTTTATTAATTCAATAACCCACAAATACTTAATAAAAGGGCACACTCAAAATGAGGGTGATAATGTCCACTCCCTTATTGAAAGAGGAGTAGGTAGAGCTCTAAAGTCTGGACCCATATATACACCTGACCAGTATGTGCACATTATAAGAAATGCTAAAAAATCTGGTAAAGCCTATCAAGTAAATGAATTAATACACGAATATTTTTTTGATATAAAAGCGTTGGCTTCGTCGATAGGCAAAAATTTTTCTAAGAATATGGACAACGAAACGTTAAAGCTAGGAGACGTCAAAATTTTAAAGGTGGAATCTAATGACTCTAATTACTGTTTTTCCTATAAAACATCGTACGAGGACACAGAGTTTAAAACAGTCATGATAGATAAAATTGGTAAGACAAGAAACACTGCCAATAATATCACTGTTAAAAAGGCATACAGAGAAAAAATCCCAATATGTGAGAAGAAGAAGAAGGGTTTGCTAGACCTTATTAGGAAAAATATTGTACCAAGATTTTATAAACCGTTTTTTGAGAATCTCTAATTTTTATTATTAAGTGTACCTGAAGAAGGCTGATTATGCGGTAGTTGTCCAATGTTTGATAGACTTTTTTTGGTTATTGTTTTTAATTAACCGAATTATTTTTAAAATAAACACAAGTTTGTTATTTTTTTATGTTTAAGCATGGTTCATCATGTTCCTAATTATTTTTAGTTTGTTGATTTTTTTTATGTTTATGGTTCATAATGTTCCTAAATATTTTTAAAAAGCAAAACTTTGTTAGAATTTTATTTATGTTCATGGTTCACAATGTTATTTTTCCTAATTACTTTTAAGAAGCGTAATAGATAGGTATTGTTGGTTCGATTTCTTTTATGTTTGTGATTCCTAATATTTTAATGTTAACGTGATCATTTTAATCTGCGTACTGGTAGCTTGATGACAGTAATAGACATACTGCAAATTGTTATAAAATGTGGACTATAATAATAATAAATAATAATAAAAATACTTTTCTACAGGTTTGTTTAATCTCTAAATATGATAAACAGAAATGTGTTACTCTACAGAAAAAATCGTTCCGAAGGCTTCAGCATAAAACAAATAAATTGATTTGTGTTTGAACACACTTTTCATTAATATTATCTTTATCGTAATTGTGTCATTATTACAGATTTTTTTTAATATCTTGTAGATCATATTACCAGTTATGCCATTGTAAAACTAAAATTGAGAACTATTCATATGTATTATTTTGATTTATGTTCCTATTCATGATAATATACCAAAACTCATTTTGTAACAAGTCGAATAAGTCATAGTTTTTAATTATTAATTAAGGTATTCGCAGCTCAAAACCTGAATTTTTAGATTATAATCAAACCTTGATTAATATACTTTCGATTTATATATTCTACTCTTCTAATGATCAAAAACATGAAAAGTTATGACAGTAAATATTTTGTTTAATTTTCAAATAGCTACCCTGTAAAATGTGTGTTTTTGGATTGTGCAGTTATTCGTGCAAAGCAGCGATATGTCATATTAACGCTCAAAGTATCCCGAGCCACTATTCCGAACTTGAAGCTTCATTTTTCCCCCGAGTATATTCATGCTATATTAGTGTCGGAAAGTGGGCTGAAACCTTCTTTACCATCAACTTTATATCCCTTACCCGGCTTTGTACTTGTTAGGAATGATCGTGTTGGAAAAGGTGGAGGTGGTGTAGCAATCTACCTAAATGCATCAATTCCTTATAAAATTGTCTTAGCATCTCCCTCCTGCTATTCCGCTTCTTCTGAGTTTTTATTTGTGGAACTCGATGTCAAGGGCATCAGGATGCTTCTAGGGGTAGTGTATTGCCCCCCATCTACCGACTACTTCGCCACTTTAGATATGGCTCTTGTTGATATTTGTTCTGAGTACACTCACTGTATAATCATGGGTGATTTCAATACTGATCTGTTGAAAAACTGCCCTCGTTCCAAAAGGTTTCTTTCAATTATTGAGTCGGTTAATCTTTCTATTCTCCCTTTAAAGGCTACTCATCATAATATCGGAACTGATGACTCATTGATTGATCTAATCCTTGCTGCTTCTCCTGAACATGTAATGACGCATGGACAGTTACCCGCTTTGGGTTTCTCACGCCACGACTTAATTTATGCATCGTATAAGCTTAAACCTCCTAAATATTCCCCTACTGTAATGCATCTTCGCAGTTTTTCTAAAATAGACTTTGTCAAGCTTAGGAATGACGCTCTTAATCTCGATCTAGCCTCCTTAATAGCAGCATCTACTGTTGACGATAAAGTCACTATCCTTAACCACAATATTCTTAGCCTTTATGATGCTCATGCTCCTGTTCACAAGGTTAGATTGAAGCGTCCCCCTGCCCCTTGGATGACAGAGGGCATAAGGATGGCAATGGCTAGACGAAATCGTGCTTTTCTTCGTTTCAAGAGAAATCGAACCGAAGAAAATTGGTTATTTTTTAAAGCAGCTAGGAATAGGTGTAATCATATGGTACGTGCAGCTAAACGCCGATATTTCCATAACTGTATTAATAACTCTTCTCCAGTTTTAGTGTGGAAATTCCTAAAATCTTTCGGTCTTTGTAGACCAGCTACATTGGATTGTGGTCCTTCTCTGTCACTTGATAAAATCAACCAACATTTCGCTTCTGTAAAAGCACTGGACTCTGCAATTCGTTCCCAAACTATGGCTTCCATTGCTTCTATGCAAATTCCTAACATTCCTACCTTTAGTTTTTCTCCTGTTTCTGAGGATGATGTCAAAAAGTCAATTTTAGCAATCCAGTCCAAGGCCGTGGGTTACGACGAGATCAGTAGACATATGGTAGTATTTATACTAGAGCACCTTCTCCCGGCAATTACCCATATAATCAATTTTTCCCTTGATTCAGGTCAGTATCCTAATCTTTGGAAGAGGGCTTTTGTAAAGCCTCTCCCAAAAGTTCCTACTCCCATTCTTCCCAATCATTTTCGTCCAATATCCATTCTACCCTTTCTTTCCAAAATTTTAGAATCCTGTGTTTACAAGCAAATTTCTACTTTTGTTTCGAAACATAACCTACTGAGTATATATCAGTCTGGGTTTCGTCCTGGTCATAGTACCACTACTGCATTAATTAATGTTATTGATAATATTAAACAAGGCATGGAAGAAAAAAAAAATAACAGTACTGGTACTAGTTGATTTCTCAAATGCTTTCAACACAGTCGATCACGAAATCCTTCTTTCCATACTGTCTCACCTGAATTTTGGCCCTACTGAATTGGATTGGTTTACATCTTATCTTCGCGGTCGACAGCAGTCAGTCAGTGTGGGGCAACTGTCCTCAGCGTGGGCTGATGTGGATGCTGGTGTACCGCAAGGCGGTATTCTTTCTCCTATAATGTTTTCAATTTTTATAAACTTCATTACTTCCATCATCGACTGCTCGTACCATTTGTATGCCGATGACCTTCAGCTTTATGTGCAAACTGAGATTGGGGATATCCATAATGGGATCAAAAACCTTAACG